TTCGGCCCATCGTCAAATACAAACCCTAATGGATCCGGTCTCTACACATATAGTCCGGCCCACACTTTAATTAGATGCTTAAAGCCCAATTACTTAATTTCTTATTAGATCACTTTAATTTTGGGCTTAACTTTAAGATAGCGTTTATACACAATTAATTACATATGTCGGCCCATCACGGGAAATTAAATAATTTCCCAACAACCTTCACTTTGTGACACCAATGTCGCCAACCTTTAATACTCTGCGCACGACATCCTGATGACATGATGATAAACATCATTTAGTCATTATATTGGCTACTCTCTTTTTATGCTATTTGTGTCTATATTTTTCAAGTGATTTCTGTATAAATAACTTAAATAAGCCCATCAGCAGAACCTCACATACAGGAGTAACTTTAGTAGAGCCAAGGAGTTAGAAATTGAGCTTTTTGAACCTAAGACCAATTAAATAACATTAATAATATTAAACCTCACATACAGGAGTTACTTTTATTTTTTATTTTTATTAAATAACATTTAAAAGATTTTTTTTTTTTAAATCTTAAGGTTTAGTTTTTTTATTTTCTTTGACTCACTAAATAACTTGTGATCTAATTCTAATAGTAGGGTCAAAGTTTTCAAAATGCCCTTGGATAACCCAAAGCTTGAAAAAGCACTATTTAGGCATGAGTAGTCGGCAACACGTCATTATGTGGTGTTCTTGACCGTCGCTTAACATGACACTCATGTTCGTGATCATTAGGGGCGATGGGAGAAGTTGTCTTGACATAAGTTTAAAGTTAACTGTAATGAGAGCAAGTTCGTGCGATGAACATAGGACCTTGAAAATTTAGTGTTGGAAGTTGTCTTACGAAGAGCTTGCCTAAGGAGTTAGGATGCTTTCTACCAAGGCAAATGATAATCAAAATCCATTTGATTAAGAAACTAGGTGCCGAAGGTGATAACATTAGACAGTGAAATTTTAGTATATTACGAGAGTAATATCTTAAGGATTGTGTATCCCTTGGGGTTGAAGCTTTGTGGAGTTCATATTGAAGACATTATCTTCACTAGGGATCAAACAAATTGTCATTTGGAAATTGAGAGCACGAGTTATGAAATTTATGATTCATTGGCCAAAATACGTATATTGGTGTCTCTTGGATTTTTTTTGCTAAATCTGTTACAATGGGGAATGCTTGTAAGCACTCACCAACTTCTCTCCTGCTTTCATTCAAACAGGGGACCAGCTTTGGGGCACAAAATGAGCAATCCTTAGGGACCATTAGGGGCACCTAAGAGCCCACTAAGGAGACCTAAAGTACTTGAGGTTGGGAATCCATCGAGCGATGTTAGGCCTTCTTACCCTTCATTAGGCACTCAGACGGGCTAGAGGTTACCTATAACGCATTGCTATGCTCCTGGGACTATGTTAAGTGTACTATAATACTTTTAGGCCAAATGAGTTATCAAGGAAAAGCACTCTAATGCACTCGAATGCTAACCCATGTGCATTGACTATGGTTCTAACCTAGTCGCATGGTCCTTGGCTAGAAATGCAATCGTTGATGATGTCACATAGTTTGGCGAATATGACAAAATGTCAATATTGTGGGAATGAGTATGCTATATGAAGACACTTCTAATCAACTATGGATTACCTTACTTGGACTACACACCGGTGAAGGGTATAGCGACAAGCATTAAGATAAAATTGTCGTAGAAAGTGACGAGTACAAGGATTACGTTGTAGGGCATGCGAATGACTCCAAATACTTCGAACGGAGCCAGGAGCTCTTTCCAACTAGTATGTTTGAGAAGGCCATATGTTGTGAACATAGAGCATGCATGCAAGCTAGAAGATGTGAATTGCAAATAAGCGAACGCCTTGGCACCAAGTGTAGCACAATACTACTTATGATGTTTACATGTTAGTGAGCTTTACAGACGAAATATGTAACTAGTTATGTTTAGACTCGTGATGAAGAAGATGAAAGATAATCGAACAAGTAAGAATACGGTCACACGGGCAACAAAAATAGTTTATCCATGCAACTCGAAAATCAACCCTTGGTACATGAATTTACGTATATAGATAAAAGTTTATTAACTTAGGTGGTATAGACTCGCAATCCACAATTCTAACTAGCAAGAGGGCACAAGTAATTTCGGGTGCATTTGATGGATATTATTGAGGAAATAATGTATTTTAAGTAGTGTTACAATGGGAAATATGCTATTAAAAAGTAAAGAAAAATTATTGATGTGATAAAAATATTATTTTATTGAAAAATGTGTGGTTGAAAATGAATTTTAAAATAATGTATTTTGAAAGAATGTGTACCAACGACTAATT